ATTCTGTGTTTTCAGGGGGCGATGACGGTGCTGAAGTGGTGCAGAACAGTAGTGTATAGTTGGAAAATCTTGGTGCGGGGGAGGCTTCTAGGAAGAAGAGTTTTACCAAACCAAGATCCAAGAGGAAAACATGCATGACTCTATCAGCCTCTCAAAGTTCAAGGATCGTTGAAGCTAAGGATTCAGGAAAGAAAAATACGAAAAAGAGGGGAACACGACAGCAGCACAGCAAGAGCAGAAATATCAACAAGCAATCTGGAGTCGAAGATCATCAAACGCTTGCTTGCTTCCTTCACAATAAATTGAAGAAGAGAAGGCATGGAACTGTTGAAAATGCTCAGTTGTCAACTTTGGTAGGGAGCAAGGTCGATGATGTGGTGAGGGCACCAGACAAGCTGATTGAGGAAGACATGACCCTTGCATGTTGGCGCAAGCAGTTGAAGAGGCGGGTAACCATCGCACAAAGTGGCGACATGTCCAAATAAAAGGTTGGAAAATAAGTACATGTGGGATCAATTGATTCACGGCAAAAACCTCTACCATTCATTTTATCAGATACATTTAGGTCGAGACGATAAGAAAAAAAAAAGATTTTTAGCTGCCTGCGTGCCTGCGCGCCTGCGCCTAAGAGGTAGATGAGATGGTTGATTCCACCTGGGACCTAGCTCCGAATATTTCGTTTCAATGATCTTTTAGTGGATGTTTCATTGGACAGTAAATAGATCATAATAATACACCCTAGGATCTCATACCTACCCCTTCTGTAGTTTATTAAATGCCAGTTTTGTATTTATGATCATTTTTCCTTTGAAGGGGCATTTGCCCGGAGAGAGAATTTTGTTAACCCCTCAAGTGGGGTGAGTGTTAGAATTGAGTGATTTTTTTGTCAAATTGATAACTTTTATTTCGTTATTTTAATTAAATACTAACATTATCTATATTATACATATGAATTGCATGGCCAACTCAGTTGGTAGAGCGCAAGACTCTTAATCTTGTGATCGTGAGATCGAGTCTCACGGTGGGTAATTTATAATTCAGAGGTCTCCCATGGAAGCTGATCTTAACCTGACGTTAGGGTCAGTCTACTATCTTATCTTCCCCTTACTCCATTACATATGAGAATAAGGGTTAGCTAATAATCTATATTATACATATATTCTAAAAATATACTTGTATCATATTGCCATTTCATTTATAAATGGCAAGTCGAGGACTGGAGTTCATTGTATCATATAATATTGTAATAGTTTCATCCATTTTCCATCAAATATGATCATTTCCTTTCTCTTTTGTACATTAGGCAAATTTCCCTTTTTATCCAAGTATTTAAAATACTCTTTATCTAGATACATTATTTTTTATCTAGATAATTGAACATCCTTATTTTATCTATATACATAAAAAATTAATCAATATTCCATGTCACTTTTAAATAGAAAATAATATGTATGTACAAATTTACTTCAATAAGCTCATTACAAGCATGAGATACGTATTTTTAAAATAAATAGAATGCTACTCAAATAGCACTATAATAATTAATATATAAAATTTAACAATACATCATTTCACAAATTGATTGCGGAAAACACGTCAATTCATATACTTTTATTTATAATTAAAAACAATATTGTATTACAACACAAATTCACTTCAATGTAATAAAATAATAAATATTAAGAACAGCTTTAGTAGTTATATTTTATTTATTAATTTGAATTATTTAGGAGCAAAGAGAGAAGTGCGTTGGATATAGTAAAACAACTACATTTAAAATATCCAACTTTAACAACCAAACCCAAAACAGAGAGGATAGTGCACCTGGTAACATCCGAACAAAGTAAAAATAACTCAAAAGATCCAACATTTTAAACAAAATCTTAAAACGTTTTGAAAATGCTGTGGCAGTTGTTTCATATTGTGATTACTCACTCAAGGCAAGGCATGCAAGTAGTCTAGCATCGACCAATTCCCCAAACTCTGACTACCCCATCTGTATAACCACTAAATAAAGTGCTTCCATCGGCGCTCCAGTTCAAGCTCGTGCAGTATATCTCCTGCAAATTCAAATGATCAATTCTTCATTCCCTTCTATTTGCAATAACCACAAATATAATTCCATCAATTGAACAATGCCGATTGCTGAATTAAGAGCCACTAAAAACCAGACTCAAACTCGGATGTGATTAATCTTTAATATTAATTAAGTGCCACTAAAAACCAGACTCAAACTCGGGTGTGATTAATCTTTAATATTTTTTCCATGTATTTGGAGGATCTAGAGAGGTCATATCCCCAATATCCATGTGTGTGTGGGGGGGGGGGCACGAAAAATGAAGTGTCCAACAGAATATTGAAGAACAAAGCTTTACCATTTGACTCGGGGAGTAACATAATGACACGTTCAAAGCTTTGAGCTTTATAAAAATAAGAATGATAATGTTCACAAATGCAGCCTTAACATGAAACAGGAACATGCCCAATTGGCAAATAACTCCCAATCAACAAACAGTACAATTTCTGGACATTAAATTTAAGGTGAAAATGCTAATCTGCATATTTTCAAGGTAAACGGCATTTATGAAGCAGCAAAATTCTATATGTTCATCATAAACAGAAGAATACAGAATCATAGTTAAGCTACACAGTACCTAAAATTTCATGCAAACTGTGACATTGAATAAAAAACAACAGTTTGGTAACAAACGGTGGAACATACAGCAAAATTATAAAACTTGGAATGAATAGTTATAATAAAGAAAGACATTATTACCTTCTTCTTGTTTGCATTATCGGTGACATCAGATTTCTCAGCCTCGGCCTTGAGATCAACCTTCAAGTCCTCCACAATGCTCTTGCTCTCCAGATCCCAGATCTTGATACTCTGCACAGTGGCAGCGCAAAGCCAGTACCTGTTTGGACTGAAGCAAAGCGAGTGAATGACAGAACCAGCATCGAAACTATAAAGCTTCTTTCCTTCAGCCAAATCCCAAAGCAGAATCACTCTGTCTTTTCCTCCACTAGCACACAAAGACCCATCAGGCGAAACGGCCACCGTGTTCACATAACCGGAGTGTCCGGCCAATGTGTTACGAAGCTTACAATTGGTCAAGTTCCAAACTTTCACAGTCTTATCCCACGAAGCTGACACAATAGTGGGCTGGAGAGTATTCGGGCTGAAACGAACACAGCTCACCCACTTCACCCACTCGGTATGTGCATCACCATATTGGATAGTGTATTTGCACTCCCCGAGTGTGTTCCAAAGCTTGATGCTTGATCACGTGAAGCCGAAACGATCTGACGGTTTTCAATAGAAAAGGCAACTGATAGCACATCCTTTGTGTGTCCGACGAAACGATGATCGGAGGTTCCAGCGTTCAAGTCCCAGAGTCGAAGCTCACCGTCCCAAGAACAGGAGAGGGCGAACTGTGAATCGGAAGAGAGGACAGCGTCTTGGACGAAGTGGGAGTGACCAGTGAGACGGCGGCGAGCGACGGCGTAGGTCTTTTCGTCTTTGGTCAATTGCCAAAGGATGATGGACTTGTCGCGGGAGGAAGTGACGATCATGTCGGAATTGTAGATGGGGGTGGCGATGGCTGTGACCATGTCGGTGTGGGCTCGCATGGTGCCGCGGAGGACCAATTCCTCGGAAGCCATTGTCGTTGGCGATTTGTGCGGCGGCTGGAGCTTGGGGTTTTCAAGGAAGACAAATGAAAGGCTGAGGAGGAGGTTGGGAAACGTAAATGAGAGCGTATAATAAGCTTATATTGTACCTGTCTACTAGAATTTATTACTACATTTGTTTAGCTTGGCAATTTGGTTTAGCTTTCTTCTTATTTTGATCACTACATTTTCATTTATTATAATTCGGTCACTTCAGTTATAATTTATTACTCAACCCTGTTTTTGTTACTCACGCCAATCAAACTATCAAAGTACATTAAGTATATTGTGGATGATGTGTTGCTTGCTCGTAAACTGGTAAATGGGTATAACATGAAAGGAAGGTCTCTTAGGTTCACATAATAGTTGATCTAAGGAAGGTGGTTGATCCTTGAGTTTAATTCACGACATGGAAGATTATCTCTTAGAATAAAATGTTTGAAATATAATATTATCTGAAAAATTAATAAAAATATTATATTACCATGTTTGAGCTCATTTGACAAAGTAAACTTACACACCTCAATTCAACTTCCGTCATCCCTTGAAACAAATTCTAAATATTTATTGCATCACCCTTTAGAGCGTATCTATTAAGCAATGCCTTCCATGAGACAACATTCTTTTTTATCCATGCAAATAAGCCTTCTCTCTGCCAGTTCTATTTCACCATATTTCGCATAAAGATTAACAAGAGAGAACCCAACAAAACCCCAACTTTTACACCTTCCCCATGCAACAATGCCCCAGAAATCAACTTTGAACTCAAAGAACAAGCTCTCAAAGTAGTCACTAAGCAATGCCCATTTTGCAAAACACCATCTTTCTTCATAAAAAAATACAAATCCAATTGATGATATCCGTAACCTTCATTAACTAGACCAGAAAATAGAGCAATTCAAGACACAGCATCTCTTTCAGGCATTCTATCAAGCACTTTACTAACATATCCAAAGCTCCCACATTTAGCATAAACATTCACTAAAGAGTTCCAATGTTCCATGACTGCAAATCTGGCTCAAACCCAATTCTTATTATCTTCCCATGAACAAATTTGGCTAAACTTAAAGACCCTTTTGAAGCACAATCAAGTAGAATATTGGAGTAATTTTTTTTAATAGTATGGAGTAAATTTAACTTTATTTATTTAAATATTTATTATTCAAATACAATTAAATAAATTATCTAAAAAAAATAAAGCGGATTCGATTATTTAACTCTCTTCGGCGTTTGTGGACTGGGTTCGTGGGCCTGGAGGAGCCTTTATCAGTTAGTAATCCAAAATGGTTTAATCAGATTATGATTTAGTGGGAAAATCAGGTTTGTTTTTACGCTCGTCGCTCTCAACTCTCGAGGTTAGGATTTGTATCTTTATTTGAATTTTGAATAAATTTGTGAAATCGGGGACACTATCTTGAATATTTCAATCAAAAAAGTCATCTTGGCTAAAATGTACTGTTTTTCCCGTTATTCGATGCGTTTATAACTGATTTGAGTGATATTTTAGATGATCTATGGATAAATTTCAGATGATTGCTTATTATCTTTGCTCATCATAGCCGTTTGATTCGTTATTGAGCAGTGGGAACTGGGAATTTCAAATCTTTATATTTTGGGGGTTTAATTGAAGATATCGTGTGGTTTTGCTATTAATTTGTTTTCATTTAAATCCGCTTTAAAATCCGAGTAATTTCACGAGCTGCATTCATTTCTTGCCCCCTGAAATTCACCGGAAAAAATTAGCTCTTGGAATTTTGCTTTTTAAGCTTACTAATGTGTTTTCTTGTCCTGCGGTATGATGAAATGATTCATGGTTCGTTGTTCGATGTATATTTGTAAGCTTGTAGAATCAAGCATAACTGCCTGAATAACTTTTTGTAGCTTGTTTTCATGGATCCGGACGCCGCACAAACCGCCCGAGAATCTCTAGATCTGGCATTTCACATGTCAAATATTCTCGACACGGGACTTGATCGGCATACTCTCTCGGTCCTCATTGCCCTCTGTGACTTGGGTCTGAACCCTGAGGCTTTGGCTGCTGTTGTCAAGGAACTCCAAAGGGAACCTACACCCCAGGCTCCGATGCCATCTTCTTCGTCACCGATACTTTAACCAGGTTTCCCATTTTGCTGTTTTCCAGTAAACTTAGGAGTAATGCACAAGAAGTTCGAGTTTGATTTGTTTCGACTTATGTCTTGTAATAGATACTTGGGTTTCTTAATTTCGAACACGATTGTGCTTGGTATTCACCTGAATGTGTATTCATTTTAAGGCTCCAATCCATCACCATGCATTTTGTCTCCGTTGGTGATTCCTTGCACTGTGTAATTCATTATCTTCACCATGCTGGAGCATATGAGTTTGTTGTTGTATGTTGTATTTGGTCTGGATTTCGGAGAATTGGCTGCTATTGATGTCTTTCCGTTGAAGTATAATTAGTGTTGTCCTAATATTCCCTAACATATCTTTAGAATCTTTCATCAAATTGTGACATCGAATACCTTGGTCGTTCCGTTTATATGAGCTCAGAAACCTCTTTTTGTCTATCGATCGTGTTAAGATCTGCGTGCAAGGATTTCAGTCTGTAGTTGCTTGTGTCCATTACAAATGTGCAATTGGTTTGAGTTGTAATGTCCTCATATTTCACATAGGGAGACCCAACTATAGCTTGGGATTCTTTGTATTTCCGAATCACTGTGTTTTATTCTGTGTTTCACTCTATTTATTAGATGGATTATATTCAGTTCCATCGTTGTTTATGGTGTTGAATCTCGTTCTTCTCTAGTGACTCAGACACCAATGTGATGAGGTGCACCAGGAGCTGCGAGAAGAGTTACTAGAGTGGCTCAGTTACGCCATTATCATTGTGTGCGGCATTTAATCGAACACGTAATCGGCAATATTATTAATGACTAGTTTTCTTACATTATGTATATATTAGATCGATGTCTTCCCATTATGAAAAAAAGGCAAATTACTTATAAATCTCATATGGTAAAGTCCGTCATGATTTCCAACTTAGGGGAAAAATAAAGATGTGACAACTATTTTGACGAAAGAAAAATATATTTATTGTAATTTTCTCTTTATTTTTTTAAAAGTACAATAATGGATGTTATGGGTTGAATTAAAGTATGTAAATAAATTGTATGTATTCAGAGTTTATTTATATATCATTACATTTTATCTTAATTTTCAAATTTTTATTCGAAATTACTGACATAAAAACTTAAATATAATTTCTTATTTGATTAAATATATAATTAAGACAGTTTTTATTACACGTATATATATATATATTTATTTGATTGAAATTTTCATAAAATATTATTGTAATCATTAGCAAGAAATTCATTTTATAATTATATATTATAAATATAGATATTTAATATATTTATTTTCTAAAAAATAAAATCTAAATTAAAATTAAAATTTTACATAAAATCTAAATTCATATATTAAATCACATGTTAAAACAAAATGTAGATATAAATAAAGGAAAAAATCTAGAGGTGAATGAATGGTAGTCGTTGAATATTTCTTTAACTAAACAAAAGCGACGTTGATGTGACCGCTCAGCACAGGTTGCAGGGGTCTCTCTACCCTCATTACGCCTGCCATGCGCACATTATCATCTACGTCTTTTAATCAACTCTGTGTACGCCTCGCCTTTATCCTACGCACATCGCCGTAGCAGAACCCAACGAATCTGGAACAGGATTTGACCCGCTCACGATCTCGCTCTCATATTCCCATCATCTTTCATTAGCCTCTCAGATTCTGTCATGCTTACAACTTTTACAGCTATGCATAAAAGATGGTTAGATTCTCATGCTGCAAGAACAATTTGATTTTCGAAATCACTGAGTCAAAACCTATGGACAAGATATTCCGACACCTTCTCCGACCATGCAAAAGCCTTGTTCCTGCACAGATCAGCAACCATTTGGACATGTTCAGGATTAGGAAATAGTTCACTAAAACGATTTATGGAAGAAAGGAGAGGAAAGAGAGAAGTGTAGAGCTCCCTTCAATCCAAACAAGGATCTGACTCTTAGGGTAACGAAGCTCCTGAGATATGCAAACCACAGACCCTATCTTTCCATGTAGGATAAGACAGGGCTTTGGGATTCATAGCCGAGCAGCTCTTTACACCCTTGCAAGACCCTCTATTGGACTTCAAGGAGCTCCACCCCGCCTTCTTCAACCCTAGAAAAAATGGGCCAAAGCAGCAGCCTTCCAAACAAGGAACATGAAAGTGTCTCCCTTCCGACCATTAACTGTAAAGAAAGGAAAACCAGACAACAGTTTGACTCAAGGTGAGAAGGTTAAATCTCTCAAACACTACTTAATAAAACAACGACGCCCCATCAATGGGGGGGGAATCAACAGATCTAACCTTCATCTTCAACCCTAAGTGACGAGTGAAAATCACTCATACAACCCACAAAAACCAGTGATTTGTGACCCTTTATTTTATCTTTTCTCCTACGAGGTGGATGATAGCAAGGGTTGTATATATAATACGAGTGCATTAGGGTTTTGATCCAAAAAAAATAATGACGGGGGGTCGGCAGGTCACTGTTTAGCTGTATAGCTGTATATTTTTTGTTACCTTTTTCACATAAAAGAAAATAAGTAGTTGAGTGCAAGGTGAAAAAGTCTCGGGAAGCGGCTAATAAGATTCGCTGTTTTGATAATGGCATTTCATATGGCTATGGTAAATGGTGCAGGTGCAAGCTCCTGTCCAACCCACGAGAGATTTACTATTGCTACGACTGTGACCCTTATTATGTTACCGTTAGTCGTACGGACTAGACAATTTAACCTTGATTCTCGTGAACCAATTTCGCATTTTACAATTAATATATTTACCTTAAGAAAACAAATATATTCATAAATTAAGGAAAAAAGTCCAACAAATAATTGGGATTATTTGCGTACTTTACTTTATATTTAATTCTAATGAATATTTAAAAATATATGTAATATATATTTTTTTTTTGGAATGAGAGGGGAAAAAACAAAGCTAGGCTAATGTAGTCTATCAGTACTAAAAGTAGGGCCTTCCACATCTCTTCAGAGAAAATTAAGCAGAAAAGGTGGTGGCTCATCATGGCAAGATAGCTCGAAAGAAAAGCGAGTAGTGTTCCTCGCCAAGGCATCAGCAACGAGATTGGCTTCGCGTGGAGTCCATATAAAATCAACAATCCAATCACAATTCTAAAGCAGCTTGATGGCTCTGACCAGTAGAATGGAGTTCTGTGGAGGAGTGGCTGAAGAAAGCATCGAGACAAGGCGAGAGCAATCGAACTGAACTCGAACAAGCTCGAAACCGAGGCTCCACGCTAAGCCAAGACCATCATGAATTGCCCAAAGCTCAGACTGAAAAGGATCGGCAACTCCTATGGCTCGACTGAAACCATGCAACCAAGACCCGTGTTTGTCCCGAAACACTCCAGCAATTGTGGCATGACAAATGGATAAGCAGACTGATCCGTCAGCGTTGAGGGCGATCCAATTCGATGGAGGAGAAGTCAATTGAGTTGCAGCTACATTCTGAGTAGGAGAATCCGAATGAGGCAGAAATGGCTTGCTTGCTTCATAGTGATTAGCCCAGATGAAACTACAACGGACGATATCAGATGGGGAATACCGCATATCTGAAAAAATTGCCTCATTCCTAGCTTTTCAGATCTACCAACAAAGAGCTGCAAAAGAAATGTTACAACCTGCACCAGAATCGGGATTGGCTTTGGAAAGATTTATATTGGTGAGAATCCAATCACTTATATCAAGAGAATAATAATTCGGGAAGATAGGATTGGGCATGGCGACATTCCAGATACTTCTAGCTGCTGGGCAATCACGGAGAGTATGAATCATCGACTCAGAACTGTCCCCACAGAGAGAGCAAGCAGCATTATGAGTTAAGAATCGGGCGTCGACGCTCGGAATTGGTCAGCAGTTTTTCTTTAAAAGTAAGCCAAAGGAAGCATCGCACTCTTTGGTTGACAGAAAGCTTCCAAATAGTTTTACAATGTGCCGAATAAGCATCCCAATTTTGCTGCATTATTGATTCATAGGCATTGCTGATGGTAAAAACATGATCCCATCGCCAAATGGGCGAGTCTGATTGGTCACCGGCAATAGGACAGCGGGTGCTAATGGTATGAGGGAGTACCTCAGGTGGAACAAGAGTGGATAATAAAAGAACATTCCATGTGCCATTAGAATTCATGAGGTCTCTTAAGTGGCGGTAACGCTCCGGAATTGAAGAATCAAGAACTAATGACCGAAGAGGGCCAATACAAGGAAGCCAATTATCATCCCAAGGCTTGATAGCGGCACTGTCACCAATGGGCCAGGCCATATTGGGCCGAAATTGATCCCAAAACTTCGATAGAGACCTCCTTAAGGAGGAAGAAGACGACCGAGAGGATAAATAAATCCTTGACTCTGTATTTTTGGTGCAAAAGGTGGATCCAAAGGCCGTCAGTTTTGGTGATCAGGGCAACACCAATCTTCATTAGGAAAGCCTTGTTATACTCATGTATGCGTCTGAGACCGAGACCACCACGATCAATCGGTTGACAAAGCTTATCCCAGCAACTGAGAGATATCTTTGGGCAAGACCCCCAAATAAAATTCCTGATTAATTTTTCCATTTCTTGGCAAACCTTTTTTCGGAAGGAGAGAAGTTTGCATAAAATAGACGGGAATTGCTTCAAGCACCGATTTGATAAGTTACACGACCGGCTAGAGAGAGCGATTGGGCGGCCCAACCAGCAAAGCGTGTTCTTATTTTATCCAAAATAAAATCAAAATCGGAGCATCTCACCCTTTGATGGATAACTGGCACGCCAAGGTATTTCCCTAACGAGTCCACCATTTTAAAGCCCAAAACCTGGCTAATACTTAATCTTTAAATCTGTTGAGGTATTCCGAGAGAAGAAAATGGTTTGTCTATAGCCTGTTGACTAGGTGACCTGAATAATAGCCAAATCTCGATTGAACTGAATCAATAGCTTGGGCAGAAGCCATGTCCACACGAGCATATAAAATTAGGTTGTCTGCAAAGAAAAGATGGGATACGGGAGTACCTTGTTTAAGAAAACGGAAGGGGGTCCAAGAACCAAAAGTAACTGTATCGCGGATACTGTGACCAAGTCGTTCCATAAAGAAAACAAAGAGGTAAGGTGATAGGGGGTCACTTTGACGGATTCCTCTAGTTGGGTGAAAGACTTTAGAGTAACTGCCATTCCATTGGACTTGGAAAGATGAGCTAGTGATGCATTTCTTAATAATCCGAGCCAGGCCATAAGGGAAACCTGTATCAGAGAGGGTTTCGTGGATGAAGTCCCAACATATCCGATCAAAGGCTTCTCCAAGTCAACTATAATAGCCATCCATCCATTCTTTGATTTTGCGTTGCGCATTGTATGAATTATCTCCTGATTTATGATAATATTATCAGTGATATTTCTGTCATAGATGAACATATGTAAGCATTCACCCCTCTAATTCGTCTTGAGGTACTTGGTAAAGTTTCCGTTGAGACCTAACAGGTGGGTAAAGAATAAAAGTTTGAAATGGCGGCATTCTTTGCAGGAAGTCATGAACATCCAAAATACTCGTGAGCAAGCACTATACTATTGACATAAACATGAGTTATTTCATAAAATTATGTCTATTTATATTGAATTTTTTCAAATTATCTGATTCTCTAAAACAAAATGTTGTTGACATAATCAAGCGTAAGTGTAAATTTTATATATATATACATACTTTACATACATACATACTCACAACAAATGAGTAACTCCATATGCAAGACGATAATGATGAAAGAAGAGTGAAGAGGAGGAGAAAAATACGTTTTAGGGACAAGTTTCTGAATGGTAGGTTCCTAGAAAAAGAGTGCATAATTGGTGCGGATGTTTCCAAGGTTTTATAACCATGACATAAGTTGTATTCTTTGGTTATTTTTGTCTGAATTTGCAGGTGTTCAGTTCCTGCCAATATCTGGTCTTGTTGGTACAAACATGAAACTAAGTGTAGACAAGAGTGTATGTCATGTCCTTGGTGAAACGGTCCTGCCTAATCGAAGCCCTCGAACCTATCCAAGGCCCGCCCTTCCAGAGATCCCTAAGTTCCATTAAGGTGTCGATCTTCCATAGCCGTTGCCCAGTATAACCAAATTGTTGGACATCTTATTGTATACATAATGCAAACAAATACCTCTAATGTTTGACAGCATATGCAAATTTACCCCTATTATTTTTTTAGAACATTTGACCCCATAATGTTTTATTTGATTCAAAAGACACCCTCATCGGATGGAAACTGTTAGTGAACTGACAGTCAACGCCTCCAGCTGACTAAGAAAGCACATGTGGATACAAATGATGTCACGTCACTAAAGTATGCTGACGTGGAATTGACATGTCAGATTTTATTTTTTTGTTAAAAAACTAATTTTTATGAGAATTTTTACTAATGAGAGAGCAACACGTGTGACTCTCCTATTAGTGAGGATTTAGAGGAATGAAGAAAAACCCATTTTACGGGGAAGGAGACTCGAACTTGGGTCAAGGGCGTGAAATGGTATGCCTCTTGCCACCAGGCCAAGCGAACTGCTCAGTTTTATAATGAAACAAAACCTTATTTAACCCATAATTTATTTTCAATTTAATTAAACAAAATAAAACACGTGTTTCAAGCCTCGAATACATCTGCGTTTAATCTCATTTTCTCCTAAACCCAAGTATTCCCAAATTCGAATCGATCTAAAACCCTAATCTCATATCCCCTTTCAATTCCATCTCCATCAAATTCGAATCAAGAGCGAATTTTGAATCTTTTCCCCTTTCAATCTCTACATCTCATATGCAATAGATGGTGAGTTTAGTTTTTAAAGAAAAACCTCAAATATTTGGGTTTGGTTAAATGTTTTGATTTATGTTTTTGTCTCGAATCATTTGTTAAATATTTGGGTTTTATAGATGGGTTGTTAATAACCGTACAAATTGATGTGAAAATCTGTTAGTTTTTTTTTGAATTGGGTTTTGTTTGGGTTTGCACAAAAGGGTATATATTTGGGTTTGTGCCTTTATTATTTGGGTTTCCAGTAATGAATCGAAGGTGAAAATCACAATTTCATGCATATATTATCGGTGGGGACTGCATTTTGTAGGGTATATGAGTGGTAGGGACTTCATGTTTGGTTTTTTTATTGGGAAAGTGGTCCCTCCAAGTGCATGCATCCATTGTTTGTTTTTTACTGCTTTAGGTCTCTCCATGTGCATGCTAACATTCATTTTTTTATTAAAATACAGATGGACGAGGATAAGGAGTATTACATGAATTTGCATGTTGGTGGCAAATTTGTCTGCGATCCATACGTGCGATATGTAGTTGATTTGGAATAAAGATAATGGATGTGAGGTAAAAAAAAAGAGAATAAGTAGTATATTGTAGACTTGAATGAAAGAAC